TGACCATCGTCCTCTTAAAGAAGAAGCTTTTACTCAGAGTCCATCTGTATTCGTAGCTGATATGTTTCCCAATTTACAATCTACTACAGGCAATGTGTGATGAGGACATAATAATAATTTCCATATGTATAAATTTATACTTACACTGCTCCTCCTAACAGAAGTGCCACTCATGGGTTCTTGTGCATAAACTGACATGCTCTGGTTTTAAGCCTGGGGACATACTCAGTATGCCCAACAGAGGAGCCACAGACTGCTTTGCACACATGTGTGAGGCCCTGCCCACCACCGGGGTTGGCCCCGGTCTCCAGCAGCAGAGCTCCCGTGGATAACAGACAATGGTGAGGACAGGAAAGGACCCTTATGACATCCCATCCCCAGCCAGACCTGCCTTGCTGAGGAAATTTAGATTCTGCGGGATCCTTAGCCACAGTGTAGCCAATTCTTCATTGCAGAAATGTCACTGCAGGAGACAGGCTACAGCAGCAGGGCCCACTCCTGGGGGACAGTGCATCTGGCTCTATGTCTGCTGCTGAGCCTTTTGCCACCTCTGCTCGTTCACCTTCTCCCTCTGTGGGCTGCCATGCTCCTGAAACAGGTCAGAGGGGTCACTTCCGGAAGCCAGCACCTCTGTTGAGCATGCTGCATGTGTCACCAGGCCCCAGACCCTCATTAGAGAGAGTCATTCCCTGAGCTCAGAAGTGTCCTCAGGACAGGTAGCATCTTTCTGCTCCTCAACCAACATGTGTGGGGGAGGCAGAGGGCTGCAGGAATGGGAGCTGAAGCACCCACCCTCACTTCTGGTCTTAGCCAAGCCAGGCCCACCTCCCACCTCTCAGCTGAGCTGCACGGCCCCACCTTCCACTCCTGGCCAGAGCAGGGCCCACGGGCTGACCGGAGAGTGGGTCAGAGTCTCACAGGACTGAGAACAAAGGAGGACCTCAGCTCCCCCGGCTGCAGGTCTGCATTCTGAGATCAGAGCCACCTCCAGTGAGAGCTGTGAGGCTTGGGGAGTCACTGTGCCTCACCTACCTGGATTTCAGTCCCTCTTTTGAAAATGGGGTGCTACAGCATCCACCCTGCAGAGCCATAGTGAGGATGGAATGAGAGTGAGGGGAAGGGCTTGGCATTTTATAAACAAAAAATTCAGGGTGGCTCAGGCCATACTCACACCTAAATCTTTTTCTTTCCTTTTTTAAGCAGCTGAGCCCTTTTTTGAGGTCAATAGGTCGGGTACGTGGATGTGGAGCTGTGACAAGGCTGGCTTTTTGGTCAGAGTTTAATCATAAACCCTGATGCTTATCTTAAACGAGGATCCCAGGGTTGGGACTCAGGGCTGACTGACCTCCAGGGGGCGGCTGATGGAGGCTGTGAAATGTCTGTGTTCTGCAGACATGCAGAAGTGCTAATGACTGGGGCTGAGAGGCTGGGGGACACAGCCCTGTGCCCCACAGAGTTGCCCCCAGGAACCAGGGAGCTTCCAGGAGCTGCCAGAAAGCATGCTTTCACTCCTTGTCAGAGGTTGCCATGGTGACCGAAGCAGGAGGGGACACCCACTGGTCTGGCTCTACACAGATCATCTTTCCCAGCTCATCTTTATTCGAGGTCTTGGTCAGAGCTGATGTTGGGAGCGCCTGAGATGGGAGAATGACATCGTGCAGAGACTGGACCCTTAGTACCAATTATGTGTGCATCGCGGGGGAGAGTTGTGTTGGGAAATTGTGTGTGCTTTTGTGTAGGGGGGGGGTAGGGGTGAATTAAATTGCTGTGCATGTGCTCTGGGTATGTGGTGGGGATGCTGGTAAGGGAAGTGGGGTGGTATCAGCATTGTGTGTGACAGTAGGGCCTTTCTCAAATGCACTGGTGATCTACCTAGTGAGCACAGCTGCTGGAGCTGCACACCGCCCACTCAGGAGAACCCTCAATTTTCCACTTCCTAGAAGTCATCCATTTGCTACTTGGATAATTCCTCCCATCTTCCCAGCAGCAAACCACCGGGAGAAATCCAGCCATTTCTTTCTAAGTCTGAGACTGTGTTCTCTGCCCTCAAGCCTTGGCTCTATCACCTGACTTCTTGATTTCACGTGCCCACTTCACTCATGTCTGCTCAGATGCACCTCCACACAGAGGCCAGCTCTGACCGTCCTATCAAAACATCCCTGCTTCATTCTTATTCATAGCTCTTATCACTCATATAACTATGATAGGATATGTCAACTTGTTTACTTGTTTATGATGTGTCTCACCCACCAGAATGTAAGTTCCATGAGGGCTGCGACTTCCTCTTGTTCACTATGGTGACCCTAGTGCTCAGAACAGTGCCTGACACACAGTAGGTGCTCAACAAATTTGTTAAATGAATGAATAGTGAGTGATTGAATAGAAGAATGAATGAAGGAGGATTTTCGGGGCAGTCTGTTTCATCCCTTTGTTCTGCTTTGGCCCGTCTGGGAACTCCCTGCTCCTCACCAAATTTAAAGCTCTGCTTTAGAGCTCCTCTGAGGGCTTGCCTCCTCTTCTGGAAGACCCCTGCCCCCACCTCCCAGGCCATTCTTTGAATTCTCCTGGCACTGGCTTCCATCATGCTCCCTGCACATTGGCCTAGATGACCTTGAACTGTGAGAGCGTCCTGCCTTCCTGACCAGATATCTAGCTCCTGGATGAGAAGGGCGTTATTTTCTCCTTTGTGTCCTGAGCGCAGGGCTCTGCAAACAGCAGATGTTCAATAAATGCTGAGGATGGCGATGCTGTGAATCTCTGAACACATTCTAAGTTGAGTCGTTCACACCCCCAGGTGGCTTCCCACCCAGTAGAAAACCTCCTGCAGATTCATGGGTAAGACTTTCAAAGTCAGAATGTCGCTAGTGAAATCTGACTTGTGGGCCAGGGGTGTTTTGGGAGACTGGTCCCAGCTCTATGTTTTATCCTTTCCCCATAACCTCATGTTTGAATTTGACTGAGTCTGGGCCTAGTTCACCACCTCATTCTACAGTCTTTGCCCTTTCTGGGTGGAACCGATCGTTTCCTCTCCTAACCAATGTTTTTAGCACTTTTCTGCACCCGTCTTAGGAACTGACCATTCGTCTCCGTGGACCACATTCCTTAGTTACATTTCTGATGTGCCTGTAAGGTAGACGGGTATGTCTGTGTACAGCATCCCTTCTGTGGGGACCACCCCTGTATCGTTTCAGGTGGTCTGTGAGTCATAGCTTCCTGCCCATCGCCCCCACCCCCAGGAACACTTATGTGACCCAGACTTAGATGTTCATTTTAGCCCTTACTCTGGCAATAGTGGCTGGTTCAGTGGGTGTGCATGTGGCCAAGCAAAGCCAGTCTAGATGTTTTCATGGGATTTAAATATAGACACTTGGAGAAACTGGGTGTCTTTCCAGCTGGGGTAGCTTGGCTGGGAGGATATAAACCTGCAGTTTCCAGGGTCTGTCTTTCTCATAGAGAAAGGATGTTTGCAATAAGAAGGAATAAGCCTCTGGAAAAGAGAGAGAGAGAGAGAGAGAGAGACAGAGAGAGACAGAGAGAGAAAGAGAACAATATCTTTTGATCCATTGGACCCAGCAGTATCCAAAGACCTAAACTTCCCAATTCTGTGCAATAAAAATTTCTCTCCTTTGTTTGAGCTCATTTAAGCTGGGCTTCTGTCACTTGCCATGAAAAGGGTCTCAGTAACCTACCTACACTAGACTGTGAGATCCTAGAGGGCCCCATCTGTCTCCAGCCTTCTCCATACTGCTCATAGCTATTTGCTTGGTATAACCAGTTCACCTTTAATATATACTTTTTTGTACAAATATAAGAGAAATATATAAATGGCTATTGTCTCTTTATCTGAATACAGGGATCAATGAAATTTCTTAGAATCAAGAGGCAGAGGGGAAGAGAATCATTACCCAGTGCTGCTATGGGCCAGGCACTGTGCAAATGTCTACCGGAACTCTTGAAATGACCCTGAGGTAAGACTAGCCTTATCCCTACTTTATAGGTCATCGCAAGTAAGTGCAGAAGCCACCATTTCAACCCAAGTCTTTGCAACACCACAGTTGTGACTATGTCCCCAAATGGCTTCATATGTAATAAAGTGTCAGGAACACACTCTTTATAGTGTTTCAATGTTTTGAAGCCCAGCATTCTTAGGAATCCCAGGGGCAAATAATAACATTTAAATATTCTTCCGGCACAGTTTTGTTTTCCTGTGAAATTGATGTGGGCATATGAGGAGGATAAGACTCAAGCACCTAGACTGAAGTCCCTTCCTGCTGCTGCTGGTGAGTGAAGCTACTGGCGCCTGAGGATCTCTCTCCTAGGTGAGGGCCCTTCTCTGCGGGCAGGGCCTGGTGGTGAGAAGACCCGAGTCTAAGGAAAGTTCTGCCATTCCCAACTGTGAAATCCTCCTGGGCAAGTTCCATGACTTCCTAGAGCCTGAGTGAAGTGCCTGGCATGGGACAGAACTCAGTTCATTTGTCCACGGCGTTTCTGTTGGGGGAGGGAGGAGAAGGGAGTATGCTGGTTCCTGGGCCAGTCCCAGCGACAGCTGTGATGCCTAGGCCTGAGGCAGCCAGTGTGGAAGGATGGGCAGATGGGTGTGAGACCCACTCCAGGGCTCAGAAGGCGGCAGGGAGTCCCGTGGGCTGCACTCCTCACTTCCCCTGACTCTCCTGCTCCAGGCAGCCCCAGGATACTGGGATCCAGCACTGCTCCTGGGAGACGCGAATGAGACAAGCATTTTGGACACTCAGCTGGGGTCAGGAAAGGAAAGAGCCCCTGGCCTGGGAGTCAGCCCCAGGGACCCTGTCCTACCCTGAGCGACTGCTGCCCTCACTTCCCCTCTCAGGTTCTGCTTCCTCCTCCTGGGAAATGCGTGGTTTGGGTGCAGTGGCCTCTACGCTTCCTTCCACCCCGACATGCACAGAGTCTAGACCACAGCAGCCGGTCACCGTGTCATGGAGCCACACTCGTTGCGAGCAGGGGCATAAGAATCCACTTACCCGTGTCCTCCCAGGTGTGTCTCCCAGTACAGCTCGGTTTGCAACGTCCTGTGCTGATGGTTGCACCTCAGTTTATCATTCAGAGCTTCCGTTTGCACACCTGCAAAAACAACAGCAATCACAAACATTTTGAAATCACACTGCAGTCTACACATTTTTTTCCCCACACACACACAATGGCTTAGGCTGGAGCAGCCTTCCCGAGAGTTAGACCACAGAGCAACCGCAAACCAGAGAAGTCGCCAGACTTGCCTGGGTCACACAGCACCATTAGTGGGGATGGCTGGGTTCGGATTGTTCTTGACTCCAAGTTGAGCTTCTGTTGTCTCAAATACAGGAAAACCTTGCTTTGTCTTACTGGGATAGTGTGAGGCAGGAATCTATAAAAACACGTATTAAGACCTTTGCACATTCCAAGTGCTCAGTCTGTGCTGAATAATTGATGGCCTCGGCTCCTGGCTGCTTAGAGCAGACACACAGGCTGGGAATGTGGAGACCTTTCCTATCATTTTGCTCAGTGAATGAAGTTGCCGAGAAAATCACCAAAGAAAGAGTTGTGCTTCCCTGTTGGTGGGGGGAGGCCCTGGCTCCTGGGAGCCATAGATCTAATTTATTGCCTTACTGAAAGCAGGGGAAAAAGTGCAGGCTGCTGCAGGAAAGGGACTGTTGGGCCACCCAGAGTCGCCGCCGTGTCCCTTCTAAGGCGTCCAGGCCCTGGGAAAGGGCTGCTCTGCTACGACAGGCAGGGAGAAAGGTGCCTGGGAAGCTGAGAGTCTGGTGGGGAGGCGCAGAATTAGCCATGGGAAAGGCAGAGTCTGAAGCATGAAAACGCCTGACAAGGCAGAGGTGCCCAGGAGGGGCCGAGCCAGCCTGGGGCCACCCCAGCTGATGGCTGCATGTGACCACAGGGCTTTCCTGGCCCAAGGCCATCGCAGCAGGGATTAGGGGGTAGAAAGTAGACACAGAGTGGCCTTTAAGGCAATTTGCAGAGATCAAAGTGGAATGCAGCTCGAGCGGGTGTTCTGGCTATAAGAACAGGGAAGGTGTCACTGAAACTCAGGGTACCATTTCACAACTAAGGACAGTGGGGATGTACATACTCGCATGTGGGGTGTAGCCCACCAAAATATCTCCTACCTGGCATTTGTCTCAGGCCCCAAACAAGGCAGATTTAGGACTATCCCAATCCACAGGATAATTGGCTCTGACATCAAATGAGCAGAATCAACAAACTCCAGCTCAAGTGGAATTTGTTCTGATGACCGGCTTTCTATTTTACTCTGCATTACAAGTTCCAAAACCCAATGGTTTCACAAGGACTTCCTAGGAAGTTTCATGTTGTGCTCTGTGCTTATGTAAGTCACTGCACTGTAATACTCTGTCTGGGCATGCTGACCTCCCAAGGGGGTTGAAGGGCCCTTAGCGTTTTCCTGTGAGTGGGTAGGGCCTGTCCTAAGGACACTGGGGGTGGGGAGCTGGGAGTGGTTCCTCTGGGGCCTCAGCCTGGGTAGCAACGTTTCCTGCTGCCTGCAGCTAATCCAAGGTGCAGCATTGCATCCACCCTGGGTCTTGGAGGGGACATTTGTCTCAGGCACTACACAGGCATAACAGAAAACGGGACGTGCGACCTTGCTCCACATTTGTGTCTGCTGGAGCCGAACTTAACCAAGCTTCTGAGCTACCTGAGTTCGCACCTCATGGAGGGAAGGAACCAGGAGCCGAAGACAGAGATGGAGCAAGTTAGGGATGGGGCAGGGCTGGGTGTTGTGGACGTGGGCTGCTAGCCCAGCCCTAACACCTATTAATTCTATGAACTTGGTTCACTGATTAACCCCCCAAGGGCTTCAGGTTCCTCATCCATGAAATGGGGATTATAATGGAACCTATCTCAAAACCTTGGAAGGATCCAAGAGATAGAATGTATGAAAAATTTTAGTTATGTCTCTAATAAAACTGTCGCCTCTTGCCCATGACTGTTGTTGGCAGGACCTCTCCTGGGCCTATCAAAAGAGGGAACAGCTACTGATCCATCAAAGTTAGTCCAAGCATATCTGTGTGCCCCAGAATGTTGGGAACCCCACTGTAGTGTCAGCACAGTACTCCAGGCTGCACACATTGTCTCTTCTCGTCTCCATGCTCCTTGAGGGTAGCGCCATTGTCTTATGCTTCCTTGGTAGGATGTCTGTTATCGATCTTAGAATCCTTCACAGACATGTGTGGTATCATTCGGCTAGTTGCAACCAGCTGCATTCAGTAAGGATATGTTCACATTAGGAGTCCCTGCTTCCTGCGGGCAGCCTCCTGCACAGTCCCCATTCTAGAGGGGGCTAGGGCAAGCACTTTGGCTCTCTTTCAGTCTGCTTGACACCAGGCATTTCATAATTAGCAGAGTAAATGTTAGAAATGCATTCTCCTTAGTGAAAGCAGAGGTATTCAAGATATGTGGGTTGGCCCAACGAATTTTGAGACACTCTTGACTCTTGTAAGAGCAGGTGAAAGAATGTAGTGGGGCGGGGGAGGGGGGGAATATGGTCAGGGCACCTAGAGACACAGGTGGCTGTAACTGGCCCACAGAACTAGCTGTGTGAACTCTGCTGGACCGCTTGCAAATACATAGATTGCCCCAAAATGATCTACATGAGTGGCAGAATTTAGTCTCAGGTTTGCTTTCATTTGACCTGATAATGAGGTTTGCCTTCGCTTCCTCAAAGTTTTCAGTGGCTGCTGTCAAACAAATAAACCAAACACCAACACACCAACACAACAACACCGCAGAGTTATGCCAAACGGACATCATAGAATCGTGATGTCTCCCGGACCTAGCATATGTAAATGTTCACAGGAGAGGGAGGCAGTCACTTTGAACTTGATGGTGGACCAGTCCACCAGTCCAGGATCCTAACCCAGAGCCTTCCTGGGTACCCATCTGCGAGAGTTCCCCAGCTGGCCTTCCGGGACTGAAGTGCCCGGGTCACGCTCACAGGCTCCACTGGCTATCTGGAATGAGGAAATGCTGCTTAGCCTTCCATAAGCCCTGAAACTGGGGCCACGGCGGAGGTCACCATCTGGGCCCATTACGTGCCTGGAAAACCAGCTCTGAGCTGGACCTGCTCTTTGAGGTCCCACGGGACAAGCCCCATGAGAAAGTCTTTGGGGACTGATTGATTACCAGCTCCCACATTTGGATCAGGATACCCAAGGAGAATTCCTGGCCATACTGGAGAGATTGCCTTGAAGAAATGGGGGCTCAGTCTGTACCCTGGGAGAAGCTGAACCCCCACACCTTCCTGGGGCTGCTGGACAGGGGCCCTGGTGTGAAGGGGCCCCTGTGATGCTGGAGAGCTGACTACCCCTCTACCTCTAGAGATGAGAGAGCCTTTCCTTGATGGACAGTGTCCACAGGGACATGGGCTGCTGCTCTCTGCACTGCCTTCTCTAAAGAGTTTTTCATGGGTGAGCATTGCTGTGGGGCAGGGGCAGGGGGTTGGGGAGCATTTAGAAGGAAAGATGATAGGCATGGGGCAGCACAAGCCTCTAACTTCTCTTTTTGCTCACCTTCTTCCTTTTTTCCCTTCATCTCCCACACCTCTCCAGAGAAAAGTGTGTGTGTGTGGTGGTGGGGGGGGGTTGCTGGGGGTCGGGGCGGCGGCAAGCGGAGAGTGAGGAAGCACTGTACTTTCAGGCACCTGGGCAACTGTCCTAACCATGGAAAACCTGCTATTTGCACCTTCCCAAGCCTTGGCAATGTGGCCCTCTGTGGCAGCTCAAACTGCAAGCCAATTCAACAGTTGGCTAGGCCTACCTGTCACCCTCCTTCTAAATCCCTTTCCCACCTCCAGTCTCATCTTTCCTGCTCCCACATGTCCACTGCCCTCATTTAGTCCATCCTCACCCCTCCAGGGTCTGTTCCAGAATTTCATTGTCTTCCTTTCTCCTCTCCCCAATCTAAATCCCAGGGAACATTTGCATATTAAGAGTCATCCTGGTTAATCCTAAAGGATTTCCAGTTCAAGTGTGAGAAATCCCCCACCCCTAGTCTGTAAACCAGGGAGCAAAACTGCTCAGATGATCGTTCAGTTTCTACCTTTGCAAAGTAGCTCAACATCCCAGTCAAGCCAAGAGCCACCTCAGGGAGAGCATAGCCCCAGTGGGTTCTGGGAATTCCAGATGCTCCTTTACAACAGAGTGATTTTTCCCTTAGCAAAATTTACCTATAGAAAACTGTCCGGTGTGTGAGCAGAATAACAAGCAGTTTCTTCCTCATTTGTCTGGGGCTCTGTGGATCTCTCTCAGCAAATACTTGGGCACTGCCTTCATTTACTTCCCAAACAGAATCCCTCTTGGAGAGAGGTCAAGCTGGTGACTATGGAAGTGGACTGATAATTCAGTGGAAATCCATGCATGCAATTGGGAGGATAAGACGCAAGCAAGTACATGAGAAGTTGGGGGGGTCTTCAGGTGGGCAAGGAGGAAAAGAGGGGTGAAGGAGGACCCTCCTCTCTGCTTCAAACCAGTGGGATTGAAGCGAGCCAGGCCTGATTACAGAGCCTTTGAGGCCCATGATAGAAGAAATAGCTTTCCTGGCTCCACAAGGTCCGTTAAGACGGCACAGGACCTTCCCAGGTCCCAGGATGAGCCCCGCCACACAGCTCTCATTTTGTCTGGGTGAGATTGGTTTCTTGCCCCTCTCTGGGCCTCTCTCCTCATATCTTCTAAGGAGCTTTCCTTTGAGAGCACTGTTTTTGGAGCCAGGCACGTGAGACTGAATCTCTCTGCCCTTTCACCAGGTATATGCACTGCACCACGTTACTAATCTCTCAGAGTCCAGTCGGCAAAATGGGGATATAATGTCCCTTTGAATGGCAATTGTGGGGACAAAGTGACCAATAAAAGCTTCACAAACAGTGCCTGATAGGTAAACGCACTGAAGAAAGAACAGCTGTCATCTTTATCCACTCTAAATACAGCCCATGACTGCTTTGCCAAGCCCGTTAAAAACATGCTGGCAGCAGCTCCCATCCCGTGGATGCGGTCAGGCTGGAGGCCACCTCTGCTTTCCCAGCAGTTTGCCCAGCATTCTCCATTCTTGATCCATGCCTGGTGGGCAGCAGGACTGTCTGTATCAGAAGGGAAGCTGCTTTAGAGCCTTGTCTCCCGTGGGCACTTCGGGGAGCGCCCTTTGGACAGGAACCTGGACTCACCCCACCTGGGACTCAACCAGGAATGGCTGGGAGTTGGTGGCAACCAACCTGCCTTCCAGACCTTCTCAGGAAGAACCATACACCCAGGGGAATCAACACCAGATACAGGCAATAGGGTTGTTTTTGCTTTTGGTTTTTGTTTTTAAGCAGAACATCTAACCTGACTTGGAGGAAGGAGAAACCTCCCCTCTTGGAGGGCACCACAGACCTTCCTGCCTTCTCCTAGTGACTGGGATGCCCAGCCTCATGGCTGACCTGCTCATTCCTGAGGGCTCTTTGGGCCATACAGTTTCCTCTTATCCCACTGGCCTCAGCCCTTCAGAGCACCCTTGGACCCAAGCGCCCTTGGTCACATCTCCCGAGTTAGGGATGGCATCCTTGGAGCAGGAACTTCCATGTCACTGAGCCTGAAGTAGACAGAGGGGACAGGGTGGGCTTGGAGATGACTAGCGGTCTGGGAGTAGACCTGGAGAGGCTGAGTGGGGTTCCTCCTTCTCAGACCTGATACCCCAAATCTCCACCCAGATCTTCACCCTGGAAGGGGCCAGCAGGGAGATGGGAGATGGAGGCCAGCCGCGCTGTCTTATTCCCCCTGAGGGTGGTGAGCCCCAAGAGCCGGGGGACGAGGTGTCCACCCACCCACATCAGGGTGCTCTAGAGTCTGTGCTCCCTCAGACCCAGGCAGGCTGCTCCCCGCCACTGCCTGCCCTGGGGACCTGCGCTGCCCCAGCCCCTCCCCTGCCAGCACCACCGGTCACAGCCACATCACCCTCAGCCCGACCTCCAGCCCTGAAAATGTCCACGCCCTTGCCATGAACCCACCTTCCGGGGCGCTCGAAGACCCCTTCCAGGGGTGTCGCCGATGTCCCCGCCTCCTCCCGACGCGGGCTCTCCGCTCTGCAGCCTCTGGCCCCGGCCTCGGGGGCTAAGCTGGCTCTTACCTCCCTTTCTCTCGTGCTCTTGTGAATTCTCAGCACTCTTCTTTTTTTTTTTAAGGGACTTTTTTTTTTTTTTTTGCGTTGCGTCAGGATGGTTGCCTGGCGACGGCAGAGCTATTCCGCCACAAGCCCTTTCAGCCGCGATCCCCTCCAGCCTCTCATTCATGCCTCTCCGCCCGTGGCTCCCGGACTGGGACGCCCTGGGTCCAGGAGACGCACACCGGGTCCTAACGCCCTACGATTGCATGTTCCCAGCCCGGACCTGGACCAGAGCAGCCTCCCCGCCCCAACGAGAAGCAAACCACACGCGTTTGCCAAACCCTAGATGAAACAAAACTCAAGTATCCATTTAAAAAAAAATTAAATGCGAAGCCAAGGCAGTTTTCCCATAAGCATGGCAACGTGGCTTTGCCACTGTCAGCAGTTTGCCTAGTGGGGGGGGGGGGGGGGCAGGAGAATCCCCTTCCGGCGTCGCCAAGCCCAGAGCCTACATTCCACCCACAAGCAGCTTGAGTTCAACTCCCAGTAGCAACTCTCATTACCCAGTATCTAACATGTGCCACACCGTCAGAACGACTCAGCAGGCTGATGTGGGCTTCTCCAGTTCACAGATGAGGAAACTGAGCCTCAGAGAGGCTAAGTAGAAACCAGAAGTGAAACAGAAACAGACATTCTTCCAGAACTGCCTCCCAGACCAGTTGGGAGTAGTAGTCCCAGGGACCTGCCCCAAAGCATGTGTTTCCCCCCACAAACTACAGGGTGCCTCATAGCATATAATACTATATGTGTGTCAACCGCTAGAGATAGTTATATTCTAAATCTAGTTGCTGCTCCACCAGAGCCTAGAGCTCCAGGCACCGAAGACACACACAGGGCAGCAGCCAGGCGGCCCCAGGCCTTTAGGATCAATCCTGATGCAGACAGGAGGTTCCAGTCTAGATCTCGGGGGGGGGGGGGTGCCCCTGCTTCTGGGACCCCTGGTCCCAGGACTGATTACTGGAAGTTGGCCACGTTCTTGGGGCAGCCTGAGACAGGGCCAAATTCCTTGTCTAGCCACTGGGGATTGGCAGGTCCTTCAGAGCTATGGCTCTGCCATCCTCACAGCAGCAGTGGGGGTGCAGGGCAGGCATCGTTATCTCCATGGACAGATGTACACATTGAGGCATGGGGCTGCAAAATGACTTGCCCCAGATTCCATGGGGAAGTGGCTGGCCTTGTTTTCCGTAGGGAATCAGCCCACAGAGACCCTTGGGCTGCTTCCTGGTGCCCATATCCTTCATTGCATCTCCCCATTGGGGCTCTGTCCCACTTCCTTCCTTTCCCCCTTCACTAGCACCTCTGCTAAGAGACTTTATCTAAGGAGACATTTTGCTAATGTGAGCACCTCTTCGTGCTAATGCGTTACTGCTTCTAAGGTAGCAAGTGTACTTGAACAGGGGTCTTTTGAACCCAACCTCTTGATTTCTGCTCCTAAATTTTGACCCAGTCCTTCCACTTCTTCTATCCCCTCTGCCTCTGTCCTGGCCCAAGTCACCATGAGCTTGCCCCACCTCCAGTGACAGCCTCTTACTGACCGCCATACACCCACTCTTGGCCCTCTCCCTGCCTCTCCCTGAGTCAGTTATCCCTCCACAGCCAGAGCAAACTCCAACAATGGAAATCTGACCCTGACTTCTCCCTGCCTAAAGCCCTCCAATGACTCCCATTCCTCCCACGATTGAAACCCAGCATGGCCGACCGGGCCTGCATGGTCCAGCTCTGCCCCACTTTTAGGCCCCACCTTGTGTTGATGCTCTGCTCTCCAGAGAGATGTTCTTCCAGGTCCTTCTATACACTTGCTCCTCCCGCATTGGACTGGCCACACTTTTGTCTCCTGAGGGAACCCCACGTTACATGTTCTCACAGCCTCACCTACCTCTCCTTTTATCTTTATTTGTGAGGCTATTTAATTATTATCTGTCTCCCTCTAAGGCTGTAGGCTTGTGTGTATGTGTGGGTGGGTGGGGGGGCAGACAGGAACCATGTTTGCAAGTAGAACGTTAGGTCCAGACTCGGGGACTCAGCAGCCTCCTGTGCTGGCTATCCTTGGCAACACAGCTCTGGGCTGAACCCTGAGTGCTTGTCCTACTGCTCACCAGTGTGTCGTGGCCCCAGCATGTGGTTAAGTGCTCCAGTGTCTTTTTGGTAGAGCCTTCCCACTGCATCTGGAATTGCTTTCTTCCATCTTTAGCCTCCTAGACCCTCATTCGGCCATGGGCACCTGGTTCTGCTTTCTCAGAGGTGCATTGTCTTCCTTCTTCATACAGATAGGCAGCCTGTCCAGAGCAGGGACGGGCCTTACCCTGGTGCCTCCCATGCTGCCTGACATATGCCTGGCAGGAGGGTGGTCAGTGATGAGGACCAGAAGAGCCAGCAAAGGAGGGAAGGAGAAGAGGAGGCAGAGCCAAGTCTCCCTAGGAATAGTCTCAACTCTAATGTCTAACCGTACGCAGTGGTCGAATGAGTTCTAGGTAGAGCTCTAGCATAGGATAGTGCATATTCATACAAATAAGAGTTTCAAAATATAATTGATGACATAGAAAAATGCTAATGATTTCATGCTAAGTAAATAAGACTGGAACACCAAATGTCTAAGTACATAAGACATTATAAAGACTAAGTCTAATACCTAATTATTTTATAAGTATAGAAAAGAGATTGGGAGGGTATATGTAAATATCAGCTGTGGTTATCTCTGCATGGTAGGATAACAGAGGATTTTAAATTTCTTCTATAGACTTGCATTAATTTTCTATGTTTTCTACAAAAAGTAGTTTTTATGATCAGCAACCTCAAGAAACACTACTACAAAGAAAAGATGGCCTTGTGTTTTGGGTACCTGATACCCCCTGCTTTGTATGGAGCTGCCTTTTATACAAGTTGCTGTGGGGCTAAGCAGGAGCCCATTGATGGGTGTGGGGATCCCTGTGGCCCAGACAGCAGTGTCACCTGGGGACTCTTCCCCTCCAGTCGATTCTTTGGACCAGGGAATATTGGGCTGAGCTTACGAGAATGAGTTTGGACTTGGCAATGACACACTGATTCTAGAGCTGACTTTTGGGTCAGTACCATCAATCCAATTTAACTTTCAGGAGGCAAGACATCATGATGTGTAAGATGGCTGGCGCAGGTGTCTGGACCACCTTCGTGAGTGCACATGTTGCCTGACAGCACCCTCACTGACATGAGCACATCACTTTACAGGTTACAGAGCAGGTTTCCTTTCCAGCGGTCCCAAGATGAGTGAGACATTGTCTCTTTTGATCCTACAGAAATCCTGTGAAACTGGGAAGTCAAGAAACATTCTCCTTATCTTACCTGCGAGGACACCAAGCTTGGAGAGGTTTGGGAGCTTACTCAAAGTCACACAGCTGGTAGCATCAGGGCTCCCAAGACGGTCTGACTCTGAGTCCAGGGCACTTCACACTGTCCTTCACTGACCCTTCCGTCCCTCCAAGCAATAGGCAGAGGCAGCTTCAGTGACCACAATGTGCTGGGTCCATGCATGCTGGGCAGGAGTGACCTGATTCATAAGATGACTGTTGAGCAAAGATTGGAAGGTGAGGGAGCTGATCATGAGGTATTTGGGGAAGGGTGTTCCAGGCAGAGGGAACAGCCAGTGCAAAGCATGCCTGCCACAATCAAGGAAGAGAAAAGGGGCTTCATGCAGGAGTGAAGTGAGCAGGCGGGTAATGACAGCTGTGGGACACGATGCCAAGGGCGTGATAGGGCAGGGGTGCTTGTCTCACTTGCAACCGGAGACGCCAAGAAAGAAGACAGAAATGCAATGCAGAGAGCGAGGAGGAGGACAGACAGCGCAGTCTGACCCCGCATCCTCGCTGGCTTCAGTCTTTTATTACAGATAAAAGAGGAACAGGTGGTAGAAAATAACAAGCACGCCCCTAAGGCTAAGGGAGAACTGCTTAGTCTAAGTGTTGTTTTTTAGCTCAAGAGGAGCAAAGCAGTTTCAAGGGCTCTGGCTAAGCATACACTGATTTTAGTGTGGTAGGCAGCCAGCCTTACTCAATTAACCCTTAGTTGACTGCTGAACTTTGGCTCAAGGCAGCAACCATACAATCTTGATTTTGGGGGCTCACGTGTCCCTACAGGTGCTGGGGCAGATCCCTTGGACTTAGCAGACCATTGTAAGAACTCGTTTTCCCCCCAAGGGAACGCAGAGAATACACAGCTGGATCGGGTCTCTGCCTTCCTGGCACTCACACAGCACAAAACATTTTCTAAATTAGTCTTACCAGTTCCCACCAGGGTTTTAAAGCTACTCAGTGGCAAACTCCATTGTCTAAGGTACCTGTGTGTTCTTCATGGTGATTAAAATTTGGTCCCTATTCCTTGAATGAGAGAAAGAAGGAAGGGAGAAATGTCTGTTTGGTTCTGTTGTACGAAGGACACAGAGGGTGGGGACACACTCCCCTGCTTCAAGGAGCAATGAGAACTCACAGTCCTGGGCCAGAGTCCACGAGCTTCTACCATCTGCCTTTGAGAGGGACTTTTCCATCCAGAGGCCCAACGTTTCAAGAGGATCCAGGAAGTGTCAGTCATTTAACATTGATGCTGGCGACAGGAATGGCTCTTCTTTGTCCTTATCTCTCAGGAGGGGTTGATTCAGCCTGAAGCCCAGAAGGGAGATGGGGGCAGCTTCCCATCTCATAAGGAACCCATTAGTTCAACGAGTAGCTATGGGCAGCTCGCTCTGTGCCACCTGGTGCTAGGCATGGGGATACAGTGCCTGTCGCTTATTAGTGTAGGAAGATAATTAACAATGCATCTACCTTAGAACTGGAGTTGGGGAGCTGACAGATGCCATCTGAGCCCAGATGAGGGGCATAAGTGGGAGCTGGCTAGGAGGGGTGGGGAGTCCTGAGGAGGAGCGTGGCAGGAGAGAAAATGACATTTGCAAGGAGCGTGCCAACAGAGAGGGGCACAGCCTGGCTGTAAAGAAGAATGCAAGAGGGCGTGATGTGCAGAGGTAAGGCCTGTGGACGTGACCCTGCAGGTGAGGGGTTAAAAAGGAAGCATGTCATGGCTTTTGTCTCTCCTGAGAAGCTAGATGGATAAGAGGACAAAACAGGAGGCAAGGAGACCAATAAAGAGAATGTTTCCATTTTACCAGCGGAGAGAGGCGCTAGACGTCCAGACCCACAGCAAGGCTCACTGCATTTCTCAGGTGATGGCGGACAGTGAGGAAAGTAGCATGGGGAAGGAGAACAGCAGGGG